TTGAAGGATGAAGATAGGCAACTACTACAGAGAATGTACAGTTTAGAGGGGGACGGGTAGGTTGTTCGTATGAAATGTTGTACTCTTTGACATGTAGAAGTTGTAAATGCTGTTTTATGGTGGTTCTTAAATTTGGTTTATGATGTGTAGGTTAATAGTATGGGACGGTGGACACAATAGAATACAAGTGCATTTCACAGACATCAAAGATTTGGTGCAGCAGAACTCCATCCATGGGAATGTAAGCTGGTCTCGTATAATTTATCGTTGAGTAATTTATTTATTTTTTTATAGAAAAAACCCCTCATGCACATGTAAACATTGTTTCATTCGTATCGTGGTTGATGTGGTTGTGACGAAATGACAGATGAATTTAATAACACACCATTACGAAGATGTAAATGCATGCACTCCCACTTGATGGTGACAAAATGCTAGTAGCACATAGTGGACATAAATTTACAAATTGTTATTACTAGTGCATTGGAATTGTAATGGTAACATATGGTGTAGGTAATCGATGCATACGCTGCTATGTTGATTGAAATGCATAAGATGGTGTCTGGAAGACCAGAATATGTGGGCACAACATACATTTACACTAGTGTGTGTTCGGTATGTATCTCGACTATCGTTTGTTTGCACGAAATTTGAAAATAATATTTGTCGTAATGAAATCTGATACGACTAGGGTGGTTTTGGACAATTGTGCAGGATATGATGCGAAACAGTGGCGCTGTATCACGAAGCGCTGTATCACGAACGAAGTACTTGAACGTTCACATGAAGGCTGCGCGAGGTTGCAGATACACACTTTTCTCGATCTACAATGCCAACCATTGGACAGTCATGGCACACGATTCAGAAAGTGGGAATTGGAAACATTACAACTCCATGAGGCCAAGATGTGGTGTCACAACCCAAACCCACCCTTGTAGGTTAGGCATTGTAACCGGCTAGTAATCCGTGGATTACCAAAGGCCTCTGAACAGATAAGCATATAATAAGGGGCTGCGGAAGCAAATATATAAAATAGACAAGGTCCAATGAGCTGTGGTAACGTATATGAGACAGTAGATTTCAAAACTTATATATATATATATACATAAGCATGCCAGTCAAAGGACGCCAATATTTACAAAGTATTTACAGAAGTGCACATCCCAAGACCTGACTTTACAAAACAGTCACAGAGACTAGCATGAATACAAAAACAGCCATGACATTAGACTTTGATCGGAACCTCCTCGGGAGGCACAACGGTTGGCTGACAAAAACAGAATAGAAGGCCGTCAACTCTGGCCCTGGTCACACGCCGGCTCACCTACATATATAATATAAACTGTGAGCGAAAGCCCAGTGGATAATAACAGAGCAAAGGGGTTTCAATGAATGAGTCCGTACAGATTCAGAAATCATAATTCAGTTTCGTATCAAATCTATAATTCGTCCAGATCATATACAAAAATAATAAGTCATGCTTGAGTTTACGTGATACATCCATTAGCAATAGCAGAGCAGATACAGAACAGAGGCAGACACGTAAGGGTTACAAGTAACCAGTTCCTTAAAGGAACCTCCGGATCCGGGTAACAGAACAGAAGCTGAGCCCCCATGACGGGGCCTCCGGTATGGGTAACAGAGTGCAGACGGATATAAGTTCCATAAAGGAACCTCTGATACCGGGTAACAGCCAATAAATATCACATGATGCTAAGGATGTCACGAATACATATCAAAAATTGAACAATTATCCATTGTACATAACATATCATTTCGGAAAACAGATCTTATTTTATCACACAGAAAATAGATACAGTTGAACATAACTTTACTAAGTTATTACTCACAGTTGGCCTTGAGACAAACAGACGGAGCAGATTAGTCAGACAGAACGCGGCACGTGACCTACATAACACATAACAGATACACACTTGAAACACACGTTCTAATTGTACAAAACTTACGTCGTTGGCTCTTAGCGTGTTTCTAACCTTTAATCCTCATTAAAGGGTCTTAAACATGGCCTAGGAATGCCTAGGATGGAATGAGGATGTAAAAGTTCCTGAAAACCATTTCCTAAATTTTGCTGAAGATAAGGTCCACGCTCAAGCGTGGATTACCCCGCTCGAGCGGACATGCAGATATTGAAGCTTCGTTCGAGCGTGAACTTCCTTGCTCGAGCGGACTGTAAAATCGACAAAAGTACTGGATGCATGATTTTCACGCTCGACGGGGGCTCGACCCCTGCTCGAGCGTGAGACTCAGAGTCTCGCTCGAGTGTGGGTTCCCCCGCTCGAGCGGATTGCAAAACACATAAACTTATGGGTATACGCATGTCACGCTCGAGCATAACTCTCGACGTTCGAGCGGAAGTGTATGTACTTAGGATTCACGCTCGAGCGTGAAAGTCTCCGCTCGAGCGTGGGTCAAATTTTTGGAAAATCCAGATTGACCTTCAAGCATGAAACTCAACCTTAAAGCCTTCAAAACTTATTTTTCTGGGCCAATATTTGAGGAAACATATAATAACTCATAAAACAACATGTATTAAAAATCATTTCAAGAAATCATGGCCCAAGAGCAACCCAATTTGTACAAAATCAACGTGAACTCTATGAACCTGCCATAAATACAACATGCAAGAATCTCAATGAATCCAAACCCTCCAAAACATGATCAAACTTGATAATTTGATGGACAACAAGATGAATGACCATAATGCGAGTGAAATTAACACATGCATGGAAGAATTCTTAGAATTCAAACTCCAAGCATGGAAATTTATGCATGCATGCCTGGATGGACTCTCAAAACCACACTTTGAGCTAAATCTTGACTTTAAATACCAATTTCACCATGAACCTAGCAATAACAACTCATATTCATAATTAAAAGGATGAATTCTCTACCTTTAGGTCTTTAATTCAAGCTTAGTAGCCTAATCTTCCAAGTTACTTTCAATTCTTCTAAGTTCAAGCAAAATTCTAGATGAACTCAATCTTGTTCTCCTACTCTCTCTCTCTCTCTCTCTCCTACGGTTTGGTCAAGAAAATGGCTGAGGAGAGGTGCTTCTAAGTGTAATAAGGTGTGATAAAGTTGGTCTCAAATCAAGCCACTAAGTGGCATTTGTGTAATTAGGCAAACTAATGCAATTCAACATTATTTAATCTAATTTACACATTCCAAATCGAATTTTAATTAAGCCTACTATAAAATCACATAAAATCTAACTAGTATAACACACTAATCAATTTCTGAATCAGTCGCCGATAAGGCTTTCAATTTGCAAATCGAAACTAAAACATCAACAGATCTTTCTACACTAAACAGATAAAGACACATAAATAATGCAATGCACACGCAACTTAATTTCAATTCCCTCCTAAATTACTGTTAGGCATAATTAATCATGGATTAACATTAATCAGAGGGCGGGGTTGTTACATGTGGAGTGCGTGATGAGTATTACAATGAGGCTCTAAAAGTTATAAGTACGGCAATACCAGCAGTAGTTTGTATATGAATTTTTGTCAAATTGTAGTGGTGGTGCAATGGTAGTTTATCAATTTTAGTTTTGAATGTGCATGGTTAATGAATTGTAATTTTGGAAGTTTTAATGTTACCCTGTACACAGCTCAACTAACATGTGAAAATTCAACAAAAACAATGGGTGGCCGACCACCACAACAAATTTATGAAACCAAGAGTTACAGTTGAGGGCGTTGGGGCAGACCTTTTTTATGGCACTTTTGTATCTATTGTGGATTGTCGGCAACAAGTTCCAGAGTCGTAAGTAATGTTTATATTAGATTGAGTTCATTGTTTTGATGATGTATTGCGTAAGTGACGTTGGTATCAGTGTTTGTGAGTGCAGGTCGGATTGCAGAATTTTCGTGTGCTTTGTAATCAGGCAGTACATTCGTGGGGCAGAAGTCGATACTACGATGGACGGTCTGACACCAATTGGCCTACGAGCTGCGATGGTGGACATGTTCTTGAGTGACTCGGGCAGAGGACTCCGTGGGAGGACATTGTAAGAGGTGTTCACGTTACTCATTCCAGAAAGTGCAACAACATGATTACAATGTTTTATTTTTGAAGTTTTATGGACGTACATAAATGTTTTTTTATTCTATGAAAACAGAACGTTATGAGGGAAAAACTGGTTGGGTAGTTGTCCTACGTTACTTTATTGTCATGCTGAATGGTGCACCAACGGTTTAAGCATTGGTTAGAATCCGTTATTTTTTTGATGTAAATGTTGATATTATTTGGTAAGTAATTCAAATAGTTTCTTCTATTCCATATTATCAGCTTTGAACGTTACGTTCGAGAAGGTTATTCTTTACACGGCTACTAGTACGTCATTGTTCTTCCGTTACCGTATGGTTGAGATGTGATGGTAATGTCCGAGTAATGTGAACAGTATGTTACAATTTAATATGCATGTTCATAACATTGTTTTTTAATGCTAGATGGACCTTTGTGTGTAAATATGGTATGATCTATACAGAAGTTGACATGTCGACAGTGAGTTTGGGAAACCTATTTTGCCACCATGGGACTAAGTGCGGTTTGATCTCTACGGAAGTTGACATGCAAAGACAATGCGCACATCGACCACGTGTTTAATATGGCATGACAGTAGATTAATTTCCCATTGCCATTTTAATTATAATTGTAGAAACACCATTTCATCGTAACATAATATTACATTGGCATTCGATTTATTTAAAACAATGGGTTTTGGGTTCATGTTTTGTATGATGTACACTGAATTGCAAACAGACACTCAAACATAAAATTCCATTGCTATTCCGATTATTTGAAACAGTGGGTTTTGGGTTAATTTTTGGTATGATGTGCACAGATTTGAAACACAAACGACACCCTTACTATTACGATACAACAACATGAAAGTGATGCCATAATAAAATGACCACGCTGGTTGGGTGTTAATGGTGCAGTGTGTGATTGCTCAACAGTGGGAACCGAAATGGTAGTTGGGTTAGAGAAAAGTGTATATCTTACCAAATTGATTAAACCAATAATAGAAAGTAAAAGACTGATTAAAAACAATGTGGAAAACAGTTTGGAAAACAAAATACACTAGTACAATAGAACCCCAGTTTGTCAGAGAAAAAATTAAATCATATGGCAGACCGTCTATAACGGCTCTTTGCATGTCTTCCTATTGTGATTGCCCAATTTTCCGCAATGCCCACAACGTATATGTTGTACTACCTCGCCCTTAGATGGAATTCTCTTCCGTTTGGGCTTACCGGGAGGACGGTTGACCATCGGTAGTGCTATCAAATATTCAGTTGGGTTAATTGTCGGCCTCTCCACTGTTGGGATGGGGTATATAGTTCCGCTATAAATAGCTCGAAATGTATCGATGTAGAATGCAGAGTCTATCGAATCGTAAATGTTTCTTCCACTATTACGGAATGCAACGACAACATGGGAACATGGGAACCCATTTATCTGCCACTGAAAACAAGAACATGTCTGCTTGACGACATCAACCAACACCGATGGGTAGGAGTGAACCTTGTACACATTATCATTAGCCTGGCTCACACACCATGCCCTGCTGTCGTTATACGCTGCCACCAATTTTTTCTCCATTTTAGGGCATATTACACCGGCCCATTTAGTGCATTTAACTCTGTGGTCCAACATTTGCTCCATTATTTGACCCCTTATCATATCAACCAATCTAGTAATAGAAAGATGACGGGCCTCGCTGACCCAATTGTTGAAAGATTCAGCAGTGTTTGAGCACATCTCCCCGTACCGTTGGCTTGTAAAAAATAACCAAAATCAACGTTTACGAAGAGCATAAATTATAACGAAAAAATAAAACATACTACGAAAAAACATGCTGGAATTAAAAATACGCCATAACCCATTAAGCGGATCGTGAAGTACCTGAAATACGCATTAGACCAATGTTTTGGGTGCAAGTCTTTCATAAAATCTTCAATCACAGCTGGGTTGGACTTCTTCAATACCTCAAATTTCTCATTAAAGCAAGTAACAATGGGCGCGTTGGCACTTTCCCACAACTTGCGCATCAACCCAATTTTGTGCGATGCATTAACATATTTCATTCGATCTCGCAAGTTCATTTGGAGATGCAAAAAACAATATACATGATGTGCCGAAGGGAAAATTATTGGCATATAGTGTAATAATCCGACGTGGTGGTTAGATACGAAAGTTAATGTCCGCCCGCCCTCAACAACTTCTTTCAAATTACGAAGAAACCATTCCCAATTGGTTGAATTCTCGGAATCAACAATAGCAAAGGCTACCGGAAACAATCTTACGACCAAACATGCAACATAAATAGTTTACCATAAGTAAAGTTGTACAACCATTCACACAAAATAAGTACGACACATTTTGAAAAATAAAAATGAATAAGCCTACCATTGTGTTTTACATTATAGTGCAATTCAATTTGAGGACATCCTATTTCAATGTTGTTATTTATTTTTATTTTTTTTAAAAAAAAAACTCATTTGGAACATATGAAAAATGGAAGTAGTTGTTTACTAGTACGTGCACAAAATATAGAATAAGAGAACATACCATTATCTTGATTGGCGTCTTTAGCAGTAGCCACAAGCAAATTACCTTTAAACTTACCTTTCAAAAATGTTCCATCCAAAAATAGCAGAGGTCGACAATGATTGAACCCATTTGTACAAGCGCGGAATGATATAAAATACCTAACAAACCTTCCGGTTTTTTGGTCAAACTCAAGTTTAATGTAACTGTTTGGGTTTTTTTGCATAACGGAATCGCAATACCACCTAAGTTGATCGAAGGACGTAGCGTGATCCCCGTACACTTCGCATCTCGCTTTCTCAACACCCAACCATGCCACCCGATAACTAATGTCCAAACCATACTCGTTTTTCAAATCAAACACAACATCAGTAGGACACATCAATGGCTGATCACGTACCCGATCCGCAACAATAGTAGACACCAAATCAGACCCCGTACGAGGGTTCCTATAAATACGTACAGCAGCCCCACATGTATGCACACTATCAAACCTCTTAATACATAACACCCCACTTGACGGTAACATCCTCGCATGAACTGACCACGAACAATCTGTTGACGCCGCAAACTTACACACTACTGTAATTCGAACGGAATCATTTTTAATGTACTTGAATTGAAATCCACGTTCAATGGCATACTTACATAGAACTTCATGGAATTCGGTTGCTCCGCCATCAAAACATTGTCCCACATAGATAATCCCATACGCCCATTGCGCCGACAAAAACGTCTTCGATCTGTTTGAACAGTATGTTGGTAACAAGTCCATCTGGTCATCCACGCAACCATTCCGACTAGCATCTCGGGAAATTCCTCCATTCTAAGTGGAATCCACCACACCACAATTACCCCCCACACCAATACTACTTTTCTGAATGAGGACCTCAATGTGATTTATCCCAAACGACTTAGCAAGGCACAACATGTTTTGAATATCGTCGTCACCATCCACCTTAAACTTCTTATACTCGGGAACATCGAACAACAAACACACCGCATCTGGTACCAATCCATCGAACTTCCCACAAATATCATCAACAATCTGTACGAATGACGAATCCTGATGCAATCGAATAAGAACATTTACTAAATCGTACGAACACACCAACAAAATCCCTCCGTCCATACCTGTGAACATTTGTTGAACCCATTACTATGGCAACATACCCAGGAAAAGCATAACAAAACACTTTTTCTTTACATGCAATTGGTGTAACTAATCAAAGCCATCCCACTAACAAATCACAAAAAAGGCAGGGGGAAATAAATAAATAAACAACCACACACCTTTCGATGCCTTAACCACAGCAGTACAAGCACAGCAAGACAACACCTTCAACTGTACAGTTACAGTGCGACGAATAGCGGTGGTCACCGGGAAAAATGAAGCCCATCACTGGGAAAAATGGTGCTCATCGTTTTCTGTCTCCAAAAAACAATGGTGAAAACAATGTTAATCAAGAAAAACAATGGTAATCAATAAAAAATGGTGAAAACAATGGTAATCAATAAAAAATGGTGAAAACAATGTTAATCAATAAAAAACAATGAAAACAATGTTAATCAATAAAAATGGTGGTCACCGTTTTCTAACAGATCACAGAAATGGTGAAAACAATGTTAATCAATAAAAAAATCCCCACAAAACATTAACGTTACCTAACCCAATTGAAAACATAATCAAATGTTTAAGAAAATAATCATGCAAAGCATATTGATTGGAAAAAAATGGTACTCACTGTTTCCTGTGTCCCAAAAACAATGAAAACAATGTTAATTAATAAAAAATCCCCACAATACGTTAACATTAAGTAACCCAATTGAAAACATAATCAAATGTTTAAGGACACAATCATGCAAAGGGTATTGATGTAAAAATAAATGGAATCAAATCACACCCCAAAAAATTTACCAATAAAATAGGACTAAATGGTATACAAAAAAACTTAAAGGACTAAATGGTTTAACTTTTCTCTGGATAGAATTTATGGGTAATTTTTTCTTTTTTTATTCAGCTTAATAAGATTACATAAAAAAAAAAAATCAAAACATCCTTGAATTAAATAACAATTTTATTTTTTTAAATGCAAACAATATAGATGGAAGATATAACTTTAAAAAATAAATAAATAAAAAATAAATAAATAAATAAAATTCCAATGTTGCCGTTTAAGGGCTCGTTTGGGATGTGAGTTGGTTTTTTTGTTTTTTTAGTTATTTGAATATCGGACTAAAAAGTCTCATTTGGAATAGATTTTTTGACTTCTTTAACTTTTGTGAGAGAAAAATAAAATGATTATGAATTAAATGTGAAATTTTATCTTATTTAGGCCTCGTTTGGGAACAAGCTAATTTAGTAACTTTTTGGCTATTTGGCTAAAATATGAGCTAAAAAAAATTAGTATGTTTGGGATGACTTTTTGATTTTTTACGAAAAGATATGCAAAAAGTAGAGAGAAAAGAAAATCTTTGACTTTTTTGTATGAATTGTTGACTTTTTGACTAATTTAGTAACTTTTTAATTTTTTAACTAAAATAGAGGGTTCTCAAACGAGACCTTAATTAAATAACTTATTTTATTCTATATAGTTATTTTAGTCCTAATGGTGCATCCCAAATGAGGGAAGGCACTTCGGGCAGTACAGCCGCGCGGGTTGACCCGGCATCCCCTAACTAATTAGACGGCCGCCTTGGACTTGGACTGTATAGCCCAAAATAATCTTATTTCTTGGGGACAAGGGTCCATCTTAAATTAAGGAAAATGCTAGAAGTCTCAAATTTTCTACTAAATAAATGATTAAATGTCTTACATGAATGTGGGGCCTACAAAATTGCGGACCCCACACCTATGTGAGACATTTGGTCATTTGTTTGGTAGAAAATTTTGTGTCCCTAGTATTACCCTAAATTAATTAGCAATTGTTTCATAGCCGCCTTTCACTGTCGCCCAAAATTAATTATAATCACAGTTTTGGTTTTAATTTTTTGAATTTAATGTTTTAGAAATTTAATTTTTAATTTTTTGTATTATTTTTATTTTTAGTAAATATTCTTAAAATTTTAAATAATTTTTTTTAAATCTTTTTTAGATGCACCTTTCTTAGATGTATCTAAATAATAAAATATTTTTAAAAATTAATAAATACACAAAATACCAAAAAAAGGTACTAAATTTTAATATTTTTGGTATTTAGTGAATTTTTTAAAGATTTTTTTACAAATATTATATTTTTTTAGTGTATTTATGTTAGGTATGTCTAAAAATTAAAAAAATGCTTAAAATATTAAAAAAATTCAGTGAAAACAAAAAAAAATGAGATTTTCTAATAAATATCCCATAAAATAAAACACCAATTTGGAGCGAGATGATCCAAACATATAAAACTGGCAATATCTTTCCCCACACGGTCTTTGTTCTTTTTTTAATGCATTCACTACAACAAAAAGCACCAATGGCGACTAAAAAAATGAATTTCGTCGCTGAAAGTTGCACAAATGGCGACTAAATCCATTTTAGTCGCCGAAAATGAAGCCTTTTGGCGACTAAAACCATTTAGTAGCCAAATGTATATGTATTGGCGACTAAAAATCAGTTTGGTCGCCTATTATATGGGTTTCAGCGACTAACACAATTTTCGTCGCCAAAAGTGATGGTTTTTGCCGACTAAAACAATTTAGTAGCCAAAGGTGCTGGTTTTGGCGACTAAAAAGCAGATTGGTCGCCGATTGTAGGTGTTTTGGCGACTAAAACGAGATTAGTCGCTGAAAGTGAAGTTTTTTGGCTACAAAAAAAAAATTAGTAGCTAAAAACTGAGTATTGGCGACTAAAATTCAGTTTAGTAGCCAAAAGGGGACGTTTTTGGCGACTAAAAACAGGTTTAGTCGCCAAAAGGTGTGTTTTTAGGCGCAACATTTTTTTTTAGCGACTGCAAAATTAATTAGTAGCCTAAAATTGTAGAATTGGCGACTAAATAATGGATTTAGTCGCCAAAAGTGAGATAAATTTTTTTTTAATAAATAATTTATTTTTTACATAAATTATATTTGAATATATATAATTATATTTATATATATTATGTTGTATTAATACTGGTGAAAATAATATATAAATAATATAAGTTGCAATTATATTCATGTGATGGTTGAGTGGCATAGTGGGGTGGCGTGTGTCGTTAAGGTTTGGAGCTTGGAGGTCGCAGGTTCGAAGCGTGGGAGATGCTGAGGCATATGGGGTAATCTTTTTTTTTTTTTGAAAAATGGTTTTGGCGACAAAATACTGTGGTCGCCAAAAAGAGTGACAATTGCCGACGAAAAAAGTAGTCGCCAATTGTATAAATAATTAAAAAAAACCACTATTGGCGACTAAAACTTTAGTCGCTAAATGTATAATTTCACAAATGGAATCGACTATTGGCGACTAAAACTTTAGTCGCTGAAGACCTGTATATTGCCGACTAACTAATCTTTAGTCGCCAAAGGTATTGGCGACCACAGCGGCGACTAAAATATTTAGTCGGGAAAAGTGAAAATTTTACCTTTGGCGTCTAAAAGAGAACTTTTGGCGACTAAAAATTTTGTCTCCAAAAATGTTTTTTCTTGTAGTGATTGTCCACCTACTTAAAGTATTTGCAAATGGGGATGTCCTTCCATCCAATCATATAATTCAGTAATTTAATTATCTTTAAAAAATATTTGAAATTGCTTAAAATTTAGAGAAAATTATCTCTTAGTGATAAGTTGAGAAAACTTATTATATATGTATGAAAAAATTTATAATTTTAATTATTAATATTAATAAAATTTATCACTAATTTATAATTATTTTTCAAGTTTTACACTGATTTGAAATTCTCCATAAAATTTAAGTGTAAGAATTATATTTGTTTTAGGCCAAGTTTGGCATAATTGAAAAAAGACAAAAAGTCAAAAAGTCACTATCCTATTTACGTCACATCATCTTATTTAAGTCACATCACCTCTCTAACACATCACTTCAAACCCAACCCAAACCCAATCCATATTTCATAAAAAGTCAAAAAGTGTACTTATTTAGTCTTCTCAAACTAGGCCTAAATTTCAAACTGCGACTAAAACTTTAGTCGCTAAATGTATAATTTCACAAATGGAATCGACTATTGGCGACTAAAACTTTAGTCGCTGAAGACCTGTATATTGCCGACTAACTAATCTTTAGTCGCCAAAGGTATTGGCGACCACAGCGGCGACTAAAATATTTAGTCGGGAAAAGTGAAAATTTTACCTTTGGCGTCTAAAAGAGAACTTTTGGCGACTAAAAATTTTGTCTCCAAAAATGTTTTTTCTTGTAGTGATTGTCCACCTACTTAAAGTATTTGCAAATGGGGATGTCCTTCCATCCAATCATATAATTCAGTAATTTAATTATCTTTAAAAAATATTTGAAATTGCTTAAAATTTAGAGAAAATTATCTCTTAGTGATAAGTTGAGAAAACTTATTATATATGTATGAAAAAATTTATAATTTTAATTATTAATATTAATAAAATTTATCACTAATTTATAATTATTTTTCAAGTTTTACACTGATTTGAAATTCTCCATAAATTTAAGTGTAAGAATTATATTCGATTTAATTGTAATCTACACTGTAGTAGTTTGAAATTTATATGAACATTTTTTTAGCACATAACATTTTTTTTATAACAATTTCGGATTTTAGATCTGCATAATTTATGAAAATGGTTATATATGAGCAAATAAATTATTATTATTATTATTTAGTTATTTATTTATTTATTTTACTTATGTGATACCTTACAAATAATGTTAGTCCCATTAAAATTTTTATTTTTTTAATAAATGTTGGATCCAATGCACACATAACGTTCATGATCAAATATAATAATTGTGGAATATCGTAAGGAATAATATTTTAGTGAGAGAAATTGATAATTTATTAGAAAAATTAGTCTAACATCTTTTTTTAACTTTTAGTAATGAGAGAAATTTACAATAATTTTTTTTGTTTGCAACAAGGAACGTCACTGAGCAGCTACAACTCAAATTCGCAATGTGCAATCATTTCGTGTTACCATAGCTCTTGTTTACCAATTCATCCTCCACATAATTATATTTTTCTTCGTGCACAGACTTGCCTTAAACGAGTTGTTCACTGAAAATGGCTAAAGAAATTGTCAATTGGGTGTGTTAGGTTAAGTGATGATGTAATTCAAAAGATGTTGGTGGGTTGTCTTGTATTGGAGATTTTAGAATTGAATTGCATCACTCGTTTGTATGTTGCTAAACCAAGCTTGAAAAAATTGAAAATTTCTCAAAATTGAATTCTCCTGAGAAATTTTAAACATTATAAAAATATTAAATGTTTTTTATTTTTTTGTAAAAAAATATACAGTAATAAAAAAAATAAAAAGATAAAAAGATAAATTGTATA